GAGGAGGAGGAGGAGGAGGAGGAGGGAAGGCTTCCATGTGAGACCCAGACAGACCCAGGGATTTTTTGAATAATCCCCATCCAAAGAATGGACCTTGTTTAATGCTGCAGGCAATGGATATAGTAACTCCTCACAAAGACATCACAAGCAAAGCCTCAGACCTCAAGTGCCATCAGTCAACTTTGGCTGAGCCAAATTTTGTTGATGTGCACAGGTCTGGCTATGCTCAAAATCAAAACCCTTTTTCACACATTACATAAAGTCTGAGGTTTTCAACATAGTATCTTATAGGAAGTAAAACCTAGATTATTAATATGAAAAAGGAAGAAAAGTGTTTGAGGGGAGGATTCCCCCCTTTTATTTCTAATAGGACTTGGGGCACAATCCAGATGAGGCTAGATATGCAAACCTGTGTGTTTGTGCTGTCTACTTGCAAAGGCCTTGGCTGAACAGCTGGAGCTGAAAAAGAAGCATCTGTTCCAAAGTTCTCTTTCTTTCAGGAATGCTTTGAATGAGCATGTACGGTAGCAAATGAGTGGACAGCAAGCCTTGAGTTTGAACCCCCGTCAAGAAGGTTGCAAGACGAAATGACAGATTGCAGGGCTTGAGCATATGCTGAAAAAGAATGAAAGAGAATTAGATTTTGTATTGCTTTAGAAAACATGTGTAGGATGGGCAAGGCAAAATACACATTTCAAAAATTATGTGCAGTGTAGAAAATCAACTCTTTACCCCATGCTGATAATAAATGCCATAGATTCAATACATATAGACGTACCTCTTCAACCAATGAACAAGTTCATGGAGTATGCTGCCAGAAGGTGCAGCCATTGACTTAAAAGGCAAGGGTAGATTCATGAAAGATAGGTCTATAAATTGGCTATGCAAAATACTCTTGAATACCAATGTCTAGTGGGCAAAGGTGTGGAAGGACTGTGGCTTTCATGCTCTGCTCACAATTTTCCAGATGCATCAGCTGGGCCACTGTCCTAAACAGGATCCAGAACCAAATGGATCTTGGGTGTGGCCCTAAAGTGCTGCTCTTACACACCTCAAGTTGACCGGGATGCAGTCCCTTGTTTCATGTCAGTTTGGGGGTCAGGAATTAAGTAATGAATGCAGCCCCTATTTTGACAAAGACATTTCTCCACTTGGAGAGAAGCTCCATAGAATCCGCAATAATTAAGCAATTTGCTGAATTGAAATTGGCCAAAGGAAAATCTTTGGCATGATCATGCAGAAGGTACAATTACTTAGCTGATAATAGCTTGGGAGAGGCAGAGGATGAAGGTTGAATGGTGGGGAGACTGGCTTGAAATATAGAACTCCACTACCTCTTCACCTCTCTTTAAGAAAAAGGCCGACTTGGTCGCAGGTTCTGAATGGGAAATGGGTTGGCTTCCAGTTTTGAATACATTCTTCTAGGTAGAAGAAATTTTGCTTACATTGTACTGTTGCACATTAAGGATTTGCCCATATGTAAATAATGGCTGCATATCTTAAGGCAGAGTCCTGTGCATATCTAGACCAAAAAAGAGACATCATGGCTGGTTCTGGAATGCTGGGACTTGCTTAGACAACACAAACAAACAAAAAGACCTACACATACAGGACTGCACCCTCACTTATTATCAGTTACCCTTCGCACAGAACTAGAATGCTCTGCCATTTAAGCAGGGGCCAAATTTGTATCAAAGCGTATTGAGTCTGAAGACAAGAAAGAGAGTTAGATGAAAGAAAGTGTCCTACCCTAACTCAGAAGTTGTTCTCTCTCCCTTGATACCCCACTCTGAAGTTCCAAGATGTTGAGAGATTCATCTCTTCCCCCACCCTGCTTTTCTCCAGAAACTGAAACATGCCAGATTCTTAAAAGAGAGAGGTTAGTAATCAGTCACATGCAAGAGTCAAATGTGTGCCACAACCGTGACCCCACAGTCAATTAGGGAGAAGAAATCTGGTTCAAATCGCCATGATTGTTGGAAGGAATAAAGTCCACCAGAATGAAATGTATTTTTGGTATCCATGCTTAAAAGGCAATTGGTATTTCTTAGTCTCTCAATGGACTACAGGCACTAACTGTTCCAATGCATACCAGTATTCCTATCTACATGCAGAATTCGGAACCATGTTTATTAATGAAATCAGTGTAGATTTCAGAAAGCCCAATACCTTTGTGGTTTTTATAGAATACGCAGTTGTTGGCACAATTATCAGGATGAGCATCCCAGAAATCTGACCCACAGAAGCACAACGGAGGCAAACTGATACTGTACATTTTGATCTTCTCCCGCATCTGGGCACGTAATGCTTCCACATATCTAAAGTAAGCAAACACACACAAAACATTTTTGTTTGCCTGCTTCAGGGATGACCCACAGTCTTGTAAACATTTCAGCAGTTGAATGATGTTAGTCTGTTATAGCAAGTGCAACAAGGAAAAAAAAGAAAAACGGGAGGGAAATCTAGTAACACCTTAGATTTATGGCAAAATAGGGGGAACACAGGCAGAAGAAGGTGAGAGGTCTGCAGAGGGGGCTCAGTACAATGGTATTGATTACAGGAGAGTAATATATTGATCACTGAGGTACAGGGATTATTGTGGGTCTTGGCATGCAAATGAGGGTGGTTGCAATGCTGTTAACCTGGCTGCCGTATCAGTTCCTACTGATCAGCAAAACAATAGCCCTGGCAGCCTCTAGGCAAGCTATCAGTTCCCATTGCTTAAAGTATCAGCAAATGCCAAACAATAACCTGGCTTGGAATTCCGGTGCTTTCTGCGCAAGGGGTGCAGCTTTGATTTTGTAACACAAGGGCATATATAAGCAACAGTTTTCTACCAGGATTTATCTGAATTTTCCCAACACAAGCAATGCTATTGTATATGTAACAGGAAGTTCAAAACTGACAGGGATCAGTAAATAAGAGCAATGACATTAGAACTTTTAAAAAGCCCTGCTGGATCAGACTGAAGGGCCTTCTGGTCCAGCACTAAATACGCATGGTGGCAAAACAGCTGCCCACAGGATCCCTCCAGCGGGGAGGGTGCAAGACCTCCCCCGCCCATGGCCAGCAAGACCAGTAGCCACGGGGAGCCTCATGGATCTGCCCAGTCCCCTTTCCAAGCCATCCAGATTGGTGGCCATCTCCCATTTCTGTGGCAGCAAATTCCATCGTTTAACTCTATGCTGCAGGAAGAAGTCTTTCCTTCGATTTGTCCTGAATCTCCTGCCATCATGGGATGAGCGAGGGAGCAAAATTCTTCCCTCTCCATTTTCCCCGCTCTGCGCACAATTTTTAATTCATCTGTTATGTCTGCCCTTGCTCTTTTTCTAAGCAGAACAGTCCCAACTGCAGCCTCTCACAGAGAAGCCGCTGCAGCCTCTGGATCAGTCCGGCTGCTCTTCTCTGGCCCCATCGGTGAGGGAATGGCCCCATCGGTGCGGGTGTCCAAGGACAGGCTGGACGTGCACATGGTGAGCTGGCTGGTGCCGGAGGTCAGACTAGATGGCCCGGGAGGCCCCTTCTGACTCGCTCTGTTTCTATGTTTCTATTGCGACAAACTTCTGTGGACTAGAACTCACTTCGTGAGATTTATGAATGGTTATCTAGAAATTAACAGAAGATCATGAAATGCATGAAGCACAATTTGTATGCTTTCTAATTAAATATCTATATATAACTGTGTATCAGTTGATTTCAGGACAGTTTAGAATCACAACTAAGCACAGAATCAAATCGTCTGAAGTCAATGGGACATAAGCTACTCCTGATCAAGATGCCATGTTAATTTTAATGGCTCTAACATTAAGCATGACTAAGTCTAGTAGTCACAGGAAAAAGGCAGTAAAAATCAGAACCATAAAATAGCAGAATACAGAGTCAAATTAAATCCAGTCAAGCTTGGCTGGGTGTGTTTAGGAATTCCATAAGTGGAGAATAAGATCCAAAAACACTTTTTTACTAGTTGGCAGCTTTTTCCACTGCTAATGAAACAGTAGCTGGAAACCGTTATCAAAAGGTGACATTAATACCACCTTTAGGCATTCAAGTCTCAAGCTTTTTAATGCTTTATAGGCAAGTACCAGCACCTTAAATTGGACTCAAAGCAGAGTATAAAAATCACTTAGTGCTGATAAGCATTTCTATTCAGCACTCAAGAGAAGCAGCAGTGCAGTTTTACCATAACAATTGTATCACCACAGATCAACTTAGCAGAACACCTGCAACAGGAGAGAAATTCCTAGTCCTGATGGTTAAAATTAATAGAACCAAACTTGCTAATTTCATGCTAGAACTGTCTTCAAGGCACCTCAGGAATGCACCAGGAAACTGAGAAATTTCCTGAATACTGTAATTTTTGTTAGCTCTCTGTTCTTGCATGTAGAACTGACCAACAAAAAGGCACAAATGTATGAATAATCCCTTGAAGTACGGCTAATTATATTAAAGGTTTTAATCCCACTGCTGAAGTGGATAGGGGAACAGGGCTACCACCTGTTAGGGCTGCAAAACAACCCATCTTGTGAGGGCTCCGGCCCTGAAACTATTTTAAATAATGAGGGCATGCTGTGCTGAGGCACATGACCAAGCAACCACCAACAACTTTGCTGTGATTCATTACAGCACCTGTAACCGAAAGAGTTTTATTGGCCAGAAGCAGCTGTGACACTGCTCTAACCTGTCGGAGAAATACTGGAGGAACACATGGCAGCCCAAGCTCTGCTGCTGTCCATCCGCCTTTGTTGCAGCCAGGTCCTGTTCAGATGGCATGTCTCTGGACACATTTGTTAGGAACAAACAATGGAGGGCTCTTGCCTTCATGCCGTCCTGGTGGGTCTACCAGAAGCATCTGTCTGACTACTGAAGGAAACAAGATGCTGGAATAGACAGACACTGGGTCCATGGCAAGCTTTGTTGGGAATTGTAGTCTTAATTCCTATGTGTGGGATTTTAGAACATGAAGAGTGCCACTAAGCTATTTCAACTCACCTTGAATATTCTTTATTTCTCTGTCGTCTTTCCATTATTTCTTTCTTTTGTTGTCTTTCTGCTAGCTCCTTCTGTTGCATATCCTCCAGTGTAAGTTGTTCCAGTTTTTCACAAGCTTTCCCTTTAGGCTTAGCTTTTCCCCGAGAGGCCATTTCCTGTATCCTCTGTTCCTCTGCATGGCGGCTACGCTCCTTTTCTTTCTTAATTCTGTGGGCAGAAATGGACATTGATTCAGCCTTTCACAATTCAGCTCTCAGTTCTGGCACTGAGTTTCCATACAAAATACACCAATAATAGTAAACAGTGGTTTAAAGGGTCATTAAAACATTCCTTGGTTTCAGCATGGTACAGGGCTGGCAAACACTGCACCTTTATGTTACAGCTAACTTCTCACTTTACCTGTCAGCATTCAGTTTTACCAGGTGTTCTCTAGAACAAAGAGGGGGACCACAGCTAGTATAAAAGAGCAGGTAGGAGTTGTTCCCTGGGAAGTCCTTGCTCAAGTTCAGTAGGCATTCACTTCTCATTCCCCTGCCTGCCCCCCCAATTCCCCTGCTTCTAATTTGCAATGCAAAAACAACTGTGGAATACAAGGATGATTAAGATAATGTGCTTGAACCTTAAGAGCACCATACAAAACTCCCATTTTAAAGTTATTTGGTTTATACCTTTGCCTTAAAACACAAAAAGACCAATAATTTTTCGAATATTAAAAAGTGTATTAGAAAATATATGGAGTCATTGTGCCTGTCTAGCCTCCAGAACACTTTGCTTCCTACAAGCAAAAAAACTGTTGCTGTTCTACTCTTCTAAGCTTATGAATTTTTGGTCAAAGTAAGACTTCACATGTTTGGGATATTCTGTTTGCTTGCAATCTTACCTCTCCCTCGTGAAGACAGAGCAATAAAGTGGGTGTGTGCTTTCATAAAGAAATTCAACTAGGTTATTAGCCCAGTGAGCTAAGAAAATAGAAAATACATACATTGTGATCACTGTAAAAGAATTCTACATGAAGAAATAGCCAGGAAATATAATTAATTAGACAACATAGTTGGGAAGGCAAACCGAAAGGCTAGAATTTTGTTCTCAAGACTGTTTCCAGTAAATTGCAAGACTAAAATTTTTTCTACTGTTTCATTGTTATATCAAGGACCTGTTCCCTACATTTGAGAGTTTCTACATATCTTCTGGTTCCCATGCTCTTAACATATGGCCCAAATACATCAGTGGCAAAAGGATTGTAATATACTGCATAAGTACTTGTCCATTTTCCTCTGCCACTCCTTCTGCCGTTGTTGCTCTTTTACTTGTTCTCTTTCAATGTCCATGAAGAGGCGTCTGTATCTCAGGTATTGGCTTTGACGCTAAAGAACAAAAGTTTTAGAGCAATGGGACATAAATCTTGGAACCGACAGTGCACAACGTCATGGTACAGATGACACACAGAGGACACTTAGCACCATGTTGCTGCAATGGCAGTGGTAATCGCAGCAGAGCCAGCTGCACAGGGGTAGCCGCCCTGGGACCCAGTGCCATTTGGCCCCTTCTCTCCTGAACTTCTCTCTGTTCAGTTTATTGCTCAGTTCAGATTTAATGCAACTGAGCGCAATTCAGTTCAGGTTTATTGCTTGCTAGATGACCAGGCTTTTGCATATAAGGAAAACAAATGCATGCAAAATTGTTATATTGATTGCATATAAAAACAAAAACATGATGCAAACAAAAGGTAAAAACAAAGGTATCTTGCATGATTTTGCATGAATGTTTGGCAGACAACGTATGGGTAAACTCTGGATTACCTATATTATGGTTTGTTATTGCATGCAAACTAGGCTGTCGTCATTGACATGTAATAATAATTTGCTAGCGCTTTTCAATGTTTCATCATTACAAGTATATTTAAAGAACTTAATGAAGTAGTTACGTATTATTTGCATGCTGCAATTAAGAGTTACACCAATACAAGTTATTGCAGTTCAGCTAGAAGGGACAAGCATGTTCTGAACTAGATTTCCCTCTGCTGGCCAAAAATTAAATAACTTTGTACTTTACCTGGACTCCTATTTATGAATGTTGAAAATTCTAGTGTCTAGTTGGCTTTCAAATCCGTATCTCACTCAAGGTCCAAAACCAGACTAGATTACTGTGCATTTATTTATATTACCCTATCATTGCAGGCTCCACAGATATTTGAAAGCACATAAATTACTTCTCTAAAAGGTGTAGGTGTACATACAAAGGACAGGAGTTTATTAGCTCCATGTTTGAATTCTTGCAGAACTTTGAATGTATTGCGGCAAATCCAGCAGTGCAATTCACCATTTGACCGCTTACTCAAGGAACCCACAACATAATCCGTTTAAGCTATGATCAGTAGCCATTGAATTGTTAGGCTCATGGCACATGTATACGCACCATTGCCTTTTACCACTAAAATCTTCGGCAGCCTTTTAAAGATAAGCAGTGAGACTGACAATCAGGCACTGCAGTTACCACAGCCCTGATTGATGTCCTCATGAAAGCTCATTTGCAAAGTGAATTAATTTAACACTATATACCTGCTTTTTTGATTCTTCTGTTTCTGTTCCAGGCCAGAATTCGTGAGCAGCTCGAGTCTCAGGGTTAATTTCTGAAGAGGGCCCTGGATAGTTACCTTTTAGTATCTCACTGTTAGCCTACGAGGAGGAAAAACCAATAAATACCAAACCTGAGGACTTCTATAAAAACCATTTAATATAGAAAAGTTTCTGCAGAAGTGTTAATGTGTAGTCCTTTTTCCTTTTCTTTCCAAAAAGCTTATTTATTGCAAGTTACAAAACTCACTAGGGAAATGATCCAGAAATTTTAACTTCAATGTGATCATACTCCATGTTTGGTTGTACTAGTTTTGATTCCCTTTGTGTATTTGGGTTCAGTGAACAGTTTGGAAGCCACTGACACTTAAACAAATGTAGACGTGATGTACCCCTTTTATGAAATCGTATCAGAATAGGATATAAGCATCATTGAAGTATTTCTTCAGAAACAAAATAAGCTGCAAGTATTTAAAGGACAATTCCAACTTATCAAGTGCATTTAAGATAAAGCCATAAAAGGTTGTTTAAAACAGGTTTAGCTATACAAAAGTAGGCACTTGTTTCTCCCAGGTTTGTACCCTGAGCTATGATCTGATGACAGAAGAACAGAAAACAGTATGGTACCTAGTTCAGAGGAAAACTATGGAAACTATGAGGAAAATTCAGTATTTCAGTTAGCAAAAGTATCATTGGCTTAGCTATTTATAAGGCTATACCTTGGCATGTTTTTCTTTTTGGAATCTCCAGCACCTATGTTGATGACTCATCTGCTTCAACTAATATAAGATTATTCTGGCATCTTTGCATTTAGCACCCTAAAGGAACTGATTATTAATTAGTGACTATGCTGGAAAATGACTCAGCCTTTTTTACTTTAATACTTAGTACATAATATCAGTTGACACTATTTTAATGATTGATATATCATGTATTGTGTAATAAGCTGGAAAAAGTTAAATAACATTAGCATAATTGAATCGAATTATTTGTTTGTCCTGTTTTATTATGGTGTGAAATGATTTGGTATTACACTATAGAGTACAGTAATCCTTTGATATGTAATCCTGTCCTTCTATTGTTCTTCTTGTGTTATGAGTCACTTCTATGTGGAAAAGCAGCATATAAAAATCAGTGCCAACACCATCACACGCACTCACACCTATGATGGTATGGAGCCCATACATACACACACGAACTTACTCAAACCAGTCCACAGCCACCTCTTGTTACCCTAACCTGACTATCGAAGTTCTTTCCAACACAAGGAAATAAAGAACAGAAAGGCCAATATTCTGCCAAAGAATATGCATCCCACTCCTGTTAAATCTGAACAAAGAGTAAGGCTCTTACATGTCAGCTACACACGTGATAATAGAGAAATCTTACTGTTTGAAACTCCCCTGCATCTTCCAAGTCTGGTCCTCCTTGCTGCTCTTGCATTTCTGTTGGAAGGTCATGGTATCCCACAAGAGGAAACTCCCCACTGTCGCCCTCTTGTGCTTTTCCTGGAGATGTCTTGCAAGAGCCTGACTTCTCAAACAAAAAAGATGTAAAATTATCCCTGCAAGTCCCTGGATCACATGCATACACTCTGCTGAGACTGAACAGCTTTTTTGGAATGTGTTTGCAAACCATCTGGTTTGAGTCTTGCCTCAGGTCTCTTCCAAACCCCCATGACGTGGGACTATTTTAAAGCATGGTCAAGCTCTAGGCATTCAGCCTTTCTCCTGGCTGAACCCCTGGCCAAAGAATCTGCAACAAGATGGCCTTTAAATGGCAAAACAAAACATTTTCCCCCAGTAAGACTCTGAATTACATGACAACACTGGATTAAAAATGTTTTTAAACATTCCCTGCTTGCTAGAGAAAGGGAACAGTTCTCTCCACTTGCCTGCATTGTGTTTGAAGCCTTACTCCCTCAATCCTTTAATTTTTCTGCTGCTTTAATAGGGATTTGGCATGCCCCAAATGAAGACATGACAATGTCACATCCAACTGCAACACCATGGGTTTTAAAAAATGGCAGAGCATTACTTTCCAGAACAGCAAGATCACAACATAACTGCAACTTTTACCCAGTTGCTTCATACTGTAAACAGCTAGATAAGCTATCATAGGATCATGCTCTCACCACTTTAAGCGATTGCCCTAATAGGACACGATAAAGCTAAACACACATCTGGTACTGTTTAAATGGATTGTGTGAACTTGCGTAGTTACCAACTGTCAAATTTCAAATATACCTGTTGGGTTGAAGTTACTTGGAGAAATAAATTCTGAACTGCTTTTTCTAAGAACGCAAATTAAAATTTTAGTACAGATCCACATGGGTTCAGAAGTACAGGACTATTATCTTTGTATATAGTTATATTAAAAATTCAGAAATGCTACTGTTAGCTTTTTCCTTAATTCAGTCTAAGAGGTTCTTGAAAGGGAAAAGCAATCTTCATGTTCAGAGGAACTTCTGAAATATTTTTACAGACTAATAGAAATGATTTTTGGCTATCATGCTCTTTTAGAACTTATGGACTTGTAGTCAGGGTGGACTTGGAAGGAACAGTCATCACTGCAAAGAGAATGTTTTTGTGGAAAAATTCTTTCTATCTTATTTTTCAGGAAGCACTGATTTACTGTCAGATTCTACAAAAATAATTCACCTGAACTTATTGGGCAAAATCTAAGGAAGCCCCGAACAAAGAATAGGCAAAGACCCAGTTAAGAGATAACAATGAGAACTATAGCTTAACATTATGCTCCCAAGCAGAGGTGAGCCTTGAGTTCATGCACTCCTCACTCCAGTCATGGCCACAAGGAGTTTAGAGACATTGATTTTCATTTTTAAACCGGAGTTTTAAAAAGTATTTCCCAACTTAGTCAGTACATCCTGGCATACTTCAGATATTCAGAGCTCTGTCCCGCCATTTGGCCATCACTGGAGACTTGGGTTTATTTAAAACAGAAAATGCAAGCCTCCAAGTTCCAGACTTCCTCTTCCTTTGGAATAGCTGGGCGGGGAAATATACATAACCAAGGCTCACTGCTGCTTGTACATGTAGTACAAAATCCATACTTACCATTTTGCCTGAAAGAGGTTATAATAAAAATTCTACCATGATAGCTTTTAAAGAATATGGTAATTCATGCAACATACTAACTTCAAAAAGTCATTCAAATCCAACATTTGGCAATAATTTTGTACTAGTGGCATAACTGTGTTTACTTGGTAGTAAGTACCAATGTTTTGCAGTTAGTTAAGTTGATAAAGCCACTCCTGTTAGATGTAACAAAAATCATTTTCTCTGGAAGTTACTTGTATGCTTAGACGGCTCACCCAAACACCACCTGGCAGAGCATCTCCTTCTGATACAGCTTTCCGAGAAGCCAGCCTTTTACGGACCTGTTGCACTGTTTTCCTTACCTGAGAAAAAGTATATAAAATTAAGGGAAAAATTAAGCATTATAAAAAGTTAATGCTTGCTTTTCAAGAAGGATTTAACTTTCTTGAAAAATAGGTGGTCAATTAATAGTTGTATTAGGTTTTGGATATGATTTGTCTCTTTTCATCTGCTTAATGCAAATTTAGTGTTTTGTTTCAATGGTAGTAAACATGATAAATACCAGAATTTATGTTCATGTACTTAAAAAAAGAAAGATACCAGACACTCAACTTCATATAGTTACTCTTCCGCATTCTGACCCAGCCTTTAGTTATACACTGCATTTGTCAAGACACTCTCCAAATTCCTACATGAATATAATGCAATTCAACTGGCCTAGCAGAACTTGCCCTCTTCTTCTAAGAGTAGATGATCTGGATAAGTGGTTGGCAGGCAAGTGATGTTCAATTTAGGAGCCAGCATCTTATTCTGATATAGCGGTTGGCCAGGGACAACTTGTATAAAAGAAATTGGACCTGCAGAAAGAGAACTGGGGAATGGCCCAAGGCAAACAGGATCTCTCATTAGCAACTGGGACTGGTGTGTGTATGTGCATGAGTTAATCTAGTGAAATGGAATACAATCGATCACAAACCACAACTTTTTGGAGTTACACTTTCCCTCATACCTGCACACTTGGCAAATGGGTTAAATAGCATGAACACTATTGTGATTCAGACCTTTGATTCTGATGTAAAGGCCCATCCACAAGAAAATATTAGGTCAGTGCCATGGCAGCCCTTTATCCATAGACTACAGCAGAGTCCAAGAAGGAAAAAGCTGACAGTCCCTTGAAGATGGGAAGCTCTCACATACGATCCAAAGAAGTGCTTTAGTGACTGTCACACTAGCAAGGGATGGCTCCAGCCAACACAGCCAATGAGACTGTGGGAGCTGCTGCCAAATCCTCTGGAAAGCACAGGCTGCCCACTCCTGGTCTATGGCAATCAAACATTTAAATTAAGAACTCCGACAAGAGCAGAAATCATGAAGTTTTAAAGCATGCCAGTCTGAGCTCAGACAACTTGGAAGGTCTGTTTATAAATAGGAGGGGTGGGGTGGAGGCCGGCTGAAAAACATTCTGCTGCAGATTAATGCCAGAAAGATGCTCCAGTCCCCGAGCATGCATGCCGTCTTCTGCTCCCAAATTGATCTTTGTCTCACAATTGACCACTGGGCCACAACAACATGCTGTCAGAAGCTCTAACAGGGTTGTTTTCCAATGGTGTATTATCAGTACCAAGTAACACATATTAACTCATGAGGATTTGCTCATCTATCATCTACGAATGGCTTTGCATTCATAAAAACATTTGCAATCTTTCAAGTGCTTACAGTAGAGAACTTCTGCCCAATGGGTAGGCATATGAGATTAAAGATATTTAAGGATAAAAAACTCAAAAACCCAGGCTGAAAAGAGAACAACGCTCACAGTTTTGGCTTGCTCTGAGAGCTCTAAGTCTTGTTCTTTTCTTTCCCAATCCACCAGGTAATTAGGGTTCTGCTCAGATATAATCTTACTGCCAGAACTGCAGATTGCAGAATCTGTGTTGCATCTGTATAAACATGTGCTTTTCTTGGGGGTCAACTGCAATGCAGAATCTGAGAATCTGAGCACAATGGAGCTTTCCTTTAGTGCCTGCAGAAAAAAACAAGAAGGGTAGGAGACAGAATGTATCTACATCTAGTGTGATTATTTGGGGGAGCAGGAGGTAATCAAAATTGTATTGGTTCAGTACAAAAATGTAAACCCTGAAATAATACCTCTATTTGATTTTAATAATCAGTTTTTACATTTATGTCACTTAGATTCTAGTGATTCTAAGACTGACAAATTATTTTTCTATCTGGTAGGAAGGAGGAAAAATCTTTTATTGTTGAACACTGTAATAATTTTAATGCTCTGCCATGTAAACAACTTAAAAGAAATCAGATCAAATGGACTGCATGTATTATAAGAATACGTTAATGAGAAACAAACCTACATAAGAGATGCTAATCACATATTCTCAAGGAAGGCTTTGTATTAGAAGTTGAAAAATGCATAAAACAACATCAATTTTCAGATATAAGTTTCCATATAGCCTGAAGTGCCCAAACCTGCCTAATCTTGGAAGCTAAGCAGGATCAGGCTGGTTTGAAATCTGGATGGGTGACCCCTTCCAAATGTATTATTTTATATTTCGGACTTTAGTTCTCAGATGCCCCTGGCAGCATGGACAATGATCAGGAATGCTGGCAGCTAAAGTACAAAACATTTAAAAATCTACCTTCTGCCCATCTTTTTAAAGTACCAAATTAAGACTTCCATAGATATCTCAAATGACATCACTAAACTTGGATCAACTGTGTGTCCCAACGTGTGAGTTCATAGGAGCTACACAGTTCTGTTTTCTAAACAGCTCAGAAATTTCTGTCTCTGATTGTTATTATTACATCTACAAGGAAGTTGTGTATTTTCATGATCTAAACAATCCAGAATTAACCAATTTTTTGTTGCTGGATTAACTTTGGTTTGTTTAAACCCTAAACAACCCAGCATTCGACTATAATGAAAATGATCAGAAATAGGCATTGCAGGGTTGTTTAGGAATGCAGAAGAGATTAATGAACAAGAAGCAGTTTTCTCACTTGCTGAAGGTCTATTTGTAATGACTGCTATGCTTAAACAGTAACACTTTTAGGAGACAGATTTACATGTGTAGTTAATAAATGCAGAACTAAACATTAAAAAGTACTGCCTTACTGCTTCATAGGATGTCTGCAACTGCTGTTTTCTTTTCAGCTTAACATGCTGGTTCACCCTGTGTTTCACTTCTGCTTGAAAACGTTTCAGAACCCTCTCTTTTTCTTTCTGCTGTTCTTTATATTCTTCTTCAATCTGAGCTGCTAGAGCCTAAGAGACATTAACATTGTTTAGACCCAGAGAAAATGGATGGCAAATTGCATCTCAGCAGTTGAACCACTGGCCAAATTTATTTATTTATGCCTCTCTCTATATACACACAGACACACCCAGTCCCATTCCCAGGGGCTCTGAGCAGTTTACAAGAAATAAAAACCAACAGTGAATAATACAGACTAACATATTAATAAAATAAATATTAAATAAAATGCACATGAAAACTCATATGGGAAGGCCTTTCAGAAGAAATAGCTTCTTAACTCCTTCTTAAAAATGGGAATTTGGGAAATCAGATGAATCTATGGGGTCAACTCCCTCATTTCTAACCAGATCATGAATGTAGTTTTATTATGGGCTGACCTGCCATTACAAAGGAGCAGTGAAAGGGATTGTGGGTGGTTCAGACTGCTCCCCAATTTACCCCAGTAGGCAAGATGAACAAAAGGAGAGATATAACTACATACAGGAGAAGGCAACATTTTATCCTTCTCCTGAAACAGTATTTTGCCCAGTCGAAGCCATACTGCCTGTTGCTTTGCAGCACCTAATAGTTTGCCACCTAAATATAATTTAAAAAAAAAAACCATAATCCCCAAAGAACAAATGTTGGAGAGCCAAGCAAGGTGCTTCAACTCTGCTCTGATGGTCTTCTGGTGAGGTAGTGGGGGCAGCTGGAATGCAGCAGGGGTGTGGGGAGGGTGTAATTTGGTACAAATCAGGCACACCACTTAGCACTTCTGGTTGCTGGACTGAACAAAACTTAGTTTGATCCCACAAGACACTTTAAGCATTTAAGAAAGAAAATATAGTTAAGATACTGAACAGTTTAACAAAAGCAAATACATGTCAGATTGAGGCAACAGCTCAGTAAGAGCACAGACTCCCCATCTGGAAAGTCTCCAGCTGAATCTCCAGTTACAGAGTCCTGGGATGTCACAGAGTCACTGCCAATAGCTGATACGTTGCTCTGAAGATCCACAGAAAACATCATCATTTTTCACATAAAAGGATGCTTTGGAAAATATAAACATATTGTAGCAGACCGTGAATTTTTCTTGGTACTCACAAAAACTGGGCTCTCTTCATCATCTTGGGCACTCTCTACCCAAGCTCTGACAGGAGCCACACGCTGGGTCCTCTCTGCCAACACATTCCAGTTTGTTGCCACTGACCGAGGTCTCATTTTTGCCTCAGCTGTTCTCCCAAGACACTGTTTAAGCTGTTGCTTCTTGGGCGGTAGCACCCCTGCACCAGGGTAGTTTCACGCCTGAGATTTCTGGAAGGATCCTCTGGTGAAATATAAGACTGAGCTTAATGAAGACTTTTAGACATACGCAGGTTACCTGCCTGCACTTACACACCACTAAGTAATCTTAAAGATGAGGCTGTGTATTGTGCAACCGAGAATGATCGTGGGCCAGTAAAAAGAAAAAGAAAGGCTGGACCACTCATCTCTTTCATTGAGTGCATCAGCAGAAACAGCAAGTGAACTTGTTCCTTCTGTGGGAATACGATCATTTGATTATTGCTTCAGATCAAACTGCTGTTTAAAGGTAGACTTTACACTGTAAAGTTTACAGAGATAGGGTCAAAGAACTGACAGTCCCGCCAAGAGACCATTTAATTCAATAGTGTTGACATCATTGACCCTTTAGCATCCTCAATTCATGCATCCATTATAAGCCATTCACTAGCTCACATTTTAAATGTTTAACTAGCTTCTTAACTCTGAAACACCACATGGAAGAAAATTTCCCTCTTACACATGATATTTCCGAGAGCTTCAGTGACAACCCACCCTTAGATTTAAAGATGCTGTCCAGCAGCTATGATGATAATGCCTATAATGCCGTTCCCCCTACATTTGGTTAAAAATGGCAGGGCGAATCAATCTAGTATCTACCAACTCTCTGCACAGCATGCAAAGTCATCGCCCCCTTTGCCCAACCGACCCACAGAGAAGCCTGTCCCTCTGTCATCCCACCTCCAGCGGCGATGTTACCGGGGTCCTTCCCGAGCCGCGGGCAAAGCAGCCTCCTGAAGGCCTGGTAGGGAACCAGGCTTCTTCCAGACCATCCCGGCCTCCATGGACTACCCGTGGCAACACCAATACGGGACGGCAGTTGGTGGCGCTGCCATGACAACGGCCACAAGCCTCGCTTAGGGCGGGATCACCACGGCCGGGAGGAAAGCCAAGGAAAAGCCTCCCCGCCACGGAGCCGGAAGCGGCTTCGCAGCGCCTTCTCCACGCTCCACTTCTGCCCCTTCCTCAACCGTCGCTTTGAACTTTCGCGCCGCTTCCGGCCCGGCGGCATGCGAGCTCCGCCTACTGCCACGCCGGCCACCAATCCGAGAGGCAGGCGCACCGATGATGTCACACGCAAGGCAGGGCCTGTCACACCGCGACGGACCGCCTTCGCCGCGCCTGCGGACGTGGGCGCTCCGCTGCTGGCCCCGCCCCCTAAGCGCTGGCCCCGCCCCTGTGTGGTGGCCGTGCTTTAGACGCGCTCGCTGTAACCGGGGGCGGGTTTGCGTGTTCTCGAGTACAAAACTTTCTGGTAGAGAAAGGTCCTGCAGACAAAGTGGCTGATGGTTTTGCTTTCAAGGTGCTTTGCCTAACAATTAAATATGAAAATAATAATCCAAGATTTATAACTTTTACAAAACAGGCAATAAAAGGAGCAGGCCAAATTACTAATAATTCGACATTCCAACCACCGTGTTGCACTGACCCTCTGATATCGAAAATACCAGGTTCTGGGAACAAATCCTCATTCAGATGAAGTAACTCCAGATCTCTTTCAGTCTGGGTAGCATCAACACGTGGATGGAAGAGAAGGATTCCACCGCCCTTGCTAGTATGAAAAAATATACCAGCAGCTTAATGTTTATTAAGATAGCAGCAGAAGGTGAGAGAAGAGCCCCCACAAATGTAATTTCTTACCAAATTGCTTTTATTGCCTGTGTCTTTCAAATCCTAGCAAAGAAAGCTGTTTCCAGTGGCTGTTTCTGGGAGAAATGAAAAAACAGAACAGATTTTATTGTACGCATCTCTTTTTTCAGCCAAATTTTTCCCAAACAGTGCACAATTAAAACCCAGTGCACATGTATTCCACGCAGATGAGTATGTGGACACTCTTCCATGCAAGTGCTGATTGTACAGTGGGAGGGACAGGCTGGGGCTTGGTTGCCACCCTGATGGATGCCAGTAAGCCTGCTGGCCACGATTTCGCCTGGGTGTACATTTAACATGCATGAGCAAAGTCTGAATGTACAAAGTGCACTTTCCTTCATATAATTTAATTTTATTCATACATTTATATGGGCTCATCTGGCTGATGCATTTAGAATGGATACAATAAATAACAAACTTTTCAAAATATTGAAGTATAGTTTTTATACAAGAATCAACAGTAAACTGAAAATAAACACATCCAATTAAAGATTAAATGCTAGTAGAAAAGGACTGTTTTTTTCTGCTGTCTAAATGAATACAGAATAGACGCCAGGTGGCTGTCCCTGGGGAGATCATTCTGCTGTTGGGATGGCGGGGGGGGGGGGTGCCATTGCACAGAAAGCTTTCTTTGGTAGCCACCAGACATGCCTTTGCAGATGGAGGGCACCTAGAGATGACCCTCTGATGAGTCAGAAGGCAGGAACATAACATAGATGCACTTCCAGAGAGATGCAACTAACCTGTGCTTCTGTTTCTGCCTCTCCTCTTCATGCATTCTTTGAATATGGGATTGTATGCATCTACAGAGTTAGCCTCCTCTCATTGATCTGTACTCTGGTAATCTCTAAGCAAGATTACTGCAATGCACTCTATGTGGGACTGCCCCTGAAGACTGCTCAGAAGTTGCAGTTTGTGCAAAATGCAGGGACCAGATGGTCTGAACATGTAACACCACTTCTGGGCTGCTGGCACTGGCTTCCTATATCCTTCTGAGCCCAATTCAAGGTGCTGGTTTTAACCTGTAAAGCCCTATACAGCTTGGGACCACGATACTTGACAGAATGCTTCTCTCAGCTTTTATCCCCCTGGACACTATGATCCAGTTCTGGAGCCTACCTGCTCCTGTCACCTCCAAGGGAGGATCAGATGGTGCCAACAAGGAAGAGGGCCTTTTCAGTGGTGGCCACCCTCTTATGGAACAAGCCCCCCTTTGAGGCCTGCCTGGTGCCAACTTTACTATTGTTTTGGTGCCAGGTAAAGAGCATCCTCTACTGCATGGCATTCAAATAGTTTACTGGGGCCTGCTGGCTGTTATTCATGTCTGAAGATATTTTTTCTTCAAGCTATTTTATATGTGTGGGATCAGACATTTTATATCCCCTTTAAGAGATTTTGGATTGGCGACGATTAAGACAAGCTATTCTTGTTTTGGGCCCTGGTGGGGAGTCGCGTATCTTAATCCAGGACAATTATACCCAAATCAGATGGAGCTCATTCCCCCATCATCCTCAGTGCCTTCCCTAGGGTGGGCAAGTGGCCTACTTTACAGAGGAGAGTTCTCTATTTGAAGGCATACTCTGTTTGACTGGCTGTCCGGTGAAGGGCCAGCTTGGAGAGAGAACCATGAGACGAGAGAGCAGGAGGGAGAGTTCATGTTGCCCATCAACAGAGAGCCCCTGGAGTGCAGAGTGAGCCAGTAGGAACTCAGGTCACTTTTTTCCTTCCTACATGAGGGAAAATATTTCCACTTCAATGCCTGATTGGCTGTTTCTCAGTTTTCCCCTTCACTGGCCAAGCAGAACCTGCACAAATTGGCACCCTCTGTTTTGGGGATGCAGGCCCTCCTGCTCTGGCAACGCAAACTGTTTTCTCGCCCTCTCCCCCAGCCTCCTTGTGCAGGGCAGGCTGTTCCTGCTGTGGCTTCTGCAAGGGGCCTGGAGAGCTCCGAGCCTTAGGAGTGTGGTTCCCTACTCATGCCTGGCAGTGGGCTGAGTGGAATGGGGGGCATATCTGACCATCCCATCAGCGCGTCACAGAAAGAGCCAACCAGCCTGCTGGAACAAAGTCCTGCAGTATTCAGCAATACACCAACTTGTCTTGCTGGAAACAAAGCCTTTATTTGTGATTTTGCCCTGTATGGAGGCAAGGCCAAGAACACCAGTGACAGAAAACGAGTGTGGAGATTAGCTGTTTCTGTTTAAAATAAGAACAACAACTCGTGCGGGAAAGTTTCTTGGTTCTTTTTTCTTCATAGGAATAGATCAAAACACATCAAAATGCATTCAGCGGCCTCCCAATTCCATGGTCCTGTGGAAGCAACCACTGGGAACAGCTTTCTGTGCTAGGAATTGGAAGACACAGGCATTAAGCAGTTTGGTAAGAAATCAAATGAGCATTTGGGGGACTCTCCTCCCACCTTCTGCTGCTACCTTAATCAGCCATTTTAGAACAATTGGCACAATTGTTCCGCAGTAAATATTGCATTTTATTAATGACAACAGAGATGGAATCGTAAAAGCATTCAGTTCTTTTTGGTTATTCTCTGCATCTGGTAACCGATTCTTGATTCAAAAGATTTAAGACAACAAAAGGAGACTAATTGGCACTTCAAGCCTGGAATGTTGGCCTAGTTAGGAGGATGTAGGAAGGACAGTGTCGCCAGAGCTGGAGTTAAAAGCATCAGAGTGCAGCAACAGTGGAAGCTGAATACGGTCAAAATGAAAAGACCTGTTGGTCCGCTGAAGCTGTTTTGTGATCACTTGCTGTTACAGGGTCCGTGAACCTGGAGTGAGCCAGTGTTTGGTCACCTCTAATATTTTTTGCAAGGCAGCAATTGGTAGAACGGAGCATATTTCACCCTTGTTCATGTCATGTTACCTTCTTTTTAAGGTACATCTGAGAAGCACTTGGACCCGTTTGCTTGTGAATTCAAAAATGTGACTTAATAGGGTAGCCATGTGTTCTCTTTTGTGTAGTACAGTCCTGTATTTGAAGAGTTGCCAAAGGCATCCTCAGTTTTAAGAACTTTCCTCTTCCTGTTTGAAGGGATTTTTAACCCATAAGAAGGGAGAGCTACAGCATTAAAATTACCCATCAACAGTCAACAATGTTATTGTTAATGAAATAAATGGGCACTATGGTAAACTTTTGTCCATGGGGTCATGATGGGTCGGATGCAACTTCTCAACTAACAACAAATGGTAAACTCACTGCCTGTCTATTTCTGCATTTGCATCCATTCCTATAAATTACATGTGCATTGAAATCAGTGTCCTCTCTTGCCCTCTGTTTGGGCAATGCATTTCCTGATGTTGCGTTTAAATCAGTGAATCTGTAGCGCTCCTTTATTCAGACCTGATTCATCCTCTCCCTGAATGAAATAGGGGAGGGCCGCTAACAGTTGTCTTGGGCTGTGCATTGCCAATACACTGCTAGCTTTAAAAAATCATTCTGAATTGAAGCAATACAGCAAGAGCATCCTAGCTGGGGGGAGACCCACATGTTTAAGTGAGAATGGTTTATTTTGAGGGAGTATATTTGAGGGTTTGGGACCAGGCGTGTGCTTTCCTTGCTTGAGGAGAATACTATATTTTCTAATTCTCCAGAGAGAGAAAAAAGAAGGAAGGAAGGAACCAATGAGCATCATTGGCTAGGGGACTAGGGGCTGCTAGCTTGTTACACGGAGCATATTTGGATCTCAAGCAGTGGAGGCTGCTGCCTCCAGTGTCAGTAGGGCAGCCTAGCCACCTGGGCTTTTGCTTGGCTGTTAAAGGAGCTGGCCAAGGTGCTGAACCATATGCCCTCTCGGATTAGAACCACGAATGGTTCCTTTAAAGTTCAAAAGGCAATTGGCATGGTTACATTGCCACACTGAATCTAGGCCACCAGCCTCCACCACATTCCAGTCTGAATCGCTTGAGGACAAATTGTTCTTTGCTGGGCAGGGGGCCTTTGCCAGGAAATCTTTGCAGAAAGTCCTTTTCTCCAGTGCAGATTTACTCTCAAGAAGTAAAAGTGAAGGGAGCTACGCAGAAGCCAGAACTACCACCATCAAGGGATGCAGCTCCTGCACACAGCCAGGAAAGGCAGATGGCTTCCATAGATCATTCTGCACACTTGCCAAACCATTCAGTTTGAGAGCCGTGCGTAAAGAGGGGCCTGTGTCAGATCCCTGAGGAGCTGCAGGAGAGGATCCATAGAGAACGGGACCTGGAGGGTTTGTTCTGTAGAGTCACACCGTTGCTGTGATGCTGCTTTGGAGAGCTGTCTGCATATATTCTTCATGGCTCGTTGTGTTTTTAAAATGTGTTTTCTAATCCCTTGAAAATGAGGATGTAGGGCTCATGAAACCAGAAAATATCAGATCTGACCAAAAGAGAAGAAAAGGAGGGAAAAAACAACAACACCCCACCACAACACACAGCGCTCTGTCTATTGAAAGAGGACTTGGCAGAGTTCAGTGGTGACAGGAGAACTCCAAGCGGTACTAAGGGACGTGCCCGGAGTGGACAAATCATGCTAATTGTGAGAAGGATCTAAAGCTAAACCCAAAATGAAGAGAGAAAGGGAAGTCTTGTCCAGAGTTCTCAGTGCTTCAGGTTTCGTGCACGTAGCTTGCCTTCTAATAATCTACTACACAGGTAGGAAAACTGCACTCTTCATAGCTTTGGAGCAGAGCTGTGGGGTTTGGCAGATACTCCTGCACGGGGGTGAGGGTTCGGTTCAGATGCTGAATGCCTGTCCGCAGAGCTCCTAGGCAAAGAGGTGTGAAGCATTCAAGGGGCCTCTGAACACCTTCTGCATCCCGCACATAATGGGGGTCTCTGGCAGTGGAGGGCAATGCGTTCCTTTCTGTTTCAATGGAACTAGAAAGGATTTGACTGAGCCGTTCTTTATAGAGTAGGTTATTGATCTGTGTGCCTCTGAAATGGAGGGAAGCACTCGAACTTGGGGTCTTTTGAGTGCTTGTTCTGCTTGGGTGAGTTTTTTAAAATGAGGCAGTTTGATCGTGCGAGCTAATCTGGAATGGCGGAGGAGAGGTGATTGGCATCTTTGGACAGTTCATTCCGCAGTGCTTTGCTGGAAAATATTGTAACACCTAAATGCTTAAACAAAATGTAAGCCAGAAAGGGCTTTGCATGCCAGCCCCACATACTGGCTAGCCTTTTACACCTTAAAACTTATTGCACAGGATCGAAAAGCAATTTTGTTCTAAATATTGCCCTGGAAATGCTGCAGATCTTTTGAATAACAGTAATCCCACATTTTGGGAAAAATGAACAAAAAACAGCAGAACTGGTGTAATGTAGCAACTAAGAGGCTACAATGGAACAGGAAATCCATTCTTTGAATGTTGCTACTGCAAGGGAGTTAATTAGGCAAGTCACTCTCAGACTTCATACCCCTTCTTCCCAACATCTGCAAAAAAGGGGCAACAGCAGACCTACCTTAATGGGTTATTATAAGGATTCAAATTAGATAATACATGTAAAGCATGTTAAACTTGGGAAGGTCATATACAAATGCTAAATTTTGTTATGTTAACTTCTTGCAACTGGATCTGATACTAAATGGGCACATTGCAATAAGATTATTGGGTGATAAAATTCTCATTGAAAATGGTGGCGTGGGACATCGCCATACTGCTAAGAGTGACCAGAGCGGCCCCTGTACTCCAAAATAAGTCCCAGTGAGCTGAGTGGAGTTTTTCTCCAGCGTAACTCATGGGGCTACACCCAAGTATGTGGGAGTAAGTCTGACTGAGCTCAGTCGGACCCACTTCTGAGCAGAAAGGCACAGGACTGTAGGGTTAGCTGCAGTGACTTCTTCCGATCGAACATTATGAAGGCGATCGGTGATGGTGTGACAGTGCCTGCATTTGTTCCAGCTGTACTTCTACACACCAGGTTTTTCTATACATGAAACTGAATGATGGCTTGTTTTGCAAAGTAATGGGCTTGCAATTGGGGTGTATGGTGGTAGCTTGAAGGGAGTAGCTCCCTGTATCTATCTTACCAGACAGTGTGATACAGTGGTTCGAGCGCTGGGCTGGGGAGCTGGGAGGTTTGGGTTCTCGTCTCTACTTGGCCATGAAACTCACTGGGTGATCTTGGGCCAATCAGGGACTCTCATCCTAACCAGGATTGTTTTTGTGAGGATAAAAATGCAGTGGAAAACCATGTCTAGTGGAAAGCAAGGCCCATAGAGTTCAATGAGGTTTGTTCCCAGTGAACTGCGACAGATTGGAATGCAATTCTGAAGTCTCCTCCTGGGACCAGTGTACACAATGGTTGGATCCAAACTTAATTATGGTCAGAGTAGAATTATTGAGTTATTGATTTCACTGGGTCTACTCTAATGATGACTAACTGTGCCCCCCCCCCAGCGAGACTTAGAGAGCAATCCTAACTGTTGGGGGAGAGTCCCATAGCAGATGATCTGTCACTTCCAGAGCCCTGTCTGTTCATTCCAGTTGTGGGGGACAGCTTGTTTCCTCCCTTGTTTCTGGCAGATCTTTCCTTCTAAAACTGGGGGTGGAAGATAGCCATGCCAGTCTGCAGCTTGTGTAGGCTGCGAATCATATGGAAGGCAGGGAGGGGCGCATGAGGGCTTTGGCCCTCAGAACCCCAAGGCCACTCCTGACACAGTCCCAGAAGTTCTCAGACCAGGCTCTGCACTGATGGTAGCCCTGGCAGAGGGGTGCCAAAGCTCCCAGGCCCATAAGAAGCTGTCTTCTGATGGGTGAGCCCCGTGGTCCATCCAGGACAGCACTGCTGGCGTCGACTGGCAGTGGGACTCCAGGGGTCTCAGGAGACTTCTTTGTGGCCCTGTCCAGAGGTGCCAAAGATCATGGCTCTGGATATTCCACGTGCGATGCTTGGGATCTGTTTTATTCATTTATTATTGCATTTCTGCCCCAGCCGTTTTCCTCTTCCAAGGAACCAAGGTGGGTCACACAGCCCTTCTCTTCTTCATTTAGCCTCACCGCTCTGTGAAGGAGCCTACTTTGAGAGTGACAAGTGGCATCATGGCTGAATCTCAGTCCAGCAGTCGAAACACTGCACCGCCCCGGAGCTCTGCCACCCCGCCCAACCCTCCCCTCAGCTGACTTTCGGTGGGGGCAGGAATCAGATTGCGGATTCAATCTGATTGCGGACCAAATGCAAACCTGCATCTGATCGTACTGTTATGCTTGCTTTCCCATCACACACAGTTGCCTTTTCCGCACCACTTGGTCTTTTCCCCATTTATGAAGCACTACTTTCCAAAGAATATTGTGCCTTCTTTCAGTTATAAAGGCTGCAAGTTAAGTAAATTGGTGAGGCAGAAATGTTAATATTGTAGCATTTATTATCCAAGGAAATGTGGAGAGAGTGATGTAATCCATGGGTGTACAGGTTAGAGATGTATCTACAGGTAGATTGGAGTAGTAGTTGTGATTTGGAGTAGATCAGCAAAGGATTTCTAACTCCCACTTGAAGCAACAAAATTATCCCCCTTTATGTAGGGGGTAACTAGTGATTTATTTCTGCATGAAAAGACACTGTGTAAGCGGTTTGGTAAGGGTGTTTGTTTGTATTTGTAGTACCGGCTTTCAGTTGGTGGGTCTCACGGTCCCATTAAAAAAAGTAAAACAAATTAGATCCAACAAGCCTAACATCCGTTCATCCCTGAGATAATTTTTATTTTGCTTAAAGTCTAGGATACATTCAGCTCCATTTTCCCCGCACCTTCCCTTAGTTTACCTTTGAAAAGTGCTCTGTTTGGCACCACAGCCCTGTGCTCGCTCATGCTAATCTGTTTTCCTCCCCTCCCGACTGCATGGTGGCAAAAGTTCCCTCATGTTTTCTCATCACTTGTGCAGCGGGCACGCTTGGGACATTCCGTCCTGGGCTTTTCAGCTTCTCACAGTTGAATGAAATAAGTGTTTCTGTTTCTAGGACAGGCAAGGCTTTGGTGCGTCCTTGTATTTGAAAATGGTTCTTGAATCCTCTCTTGTTAAAGGAGCTGCTTTGCAGAGGAGCAGATTCTGACATGGGATGCTTCAGCATCCCAGTGGGGAACCTAGTTCAGCCTGAGGGCAGGATTTCCTTTCAGAGAAGCTCTCGGGACTGCATTCCAGTACTGGGTAAGGTTGAAGGCACAATGGCTGAACCAAAGACAAGAAGGGAAGGGCCAAAGATACCGGTGTTCTTGAGTAGAACTCTTCCTCCCCTTAGCTAAGCTTTAGGAGAAGCATTAGCGTGCAGGAAGAGCTATGCAAGTATTGGGAAGCCACCAGATGAATGGCGGTAGGGTAAGAGAGGGCTGGGCTGGGCTGGACTGGGGGAAGGAGGCATGGCCTTCTGGGAAAGCCCGGTGGGCTGGATGGGAACCCCAGGTGGTCTGCACCCCTGCTGTAGAGGAATTAACAAGAGGTCAGTTTTTACAAGGGGTCTTCCCCTCTGTTTGCATCATCTGGGAGACTCCAGCTCATGGGACATAAATCCCTGATACACATGGTACAAATTTCATGTTAAGTTGTACAACACATGTATTGATTTGTAGTGAAATATTGTCATGTATAAAGTAGTCTTAATACTCATTGCAATGCACCAAGAACCATGAGAGGGACACGCAGTGTGTTCTTTGTGAAGCCTAACCTTCCCCAGCTTTGTGCGCTGTTTTCCTTCCCTGGGTAGCTGTGAAGAAATCAGAAGTTCCTCTTTCAGTTTCAATAAACCAGCATTTCCCTTATGCCCAAACCCTAAACTGTGTGTTGAATCAGCTTCACAAACTACAGAATGCTGAATCTTAACTACAGTTTGTTGAATCAGCTTCATAAACCATGATTTGAAGCTTGCTTGTTTCCAGCACACTGTAGTTAATATCAACCTCATTTTACAGAGTACAGACAACATGGCAAAGTGCAATTTAAATGGAGGCTAAAGGTGCAATCAATCCTATGAATGATTAGGTAGAAAAACTCTAAAAATCCCTTTGACTTTTTCATGTTAAAACATGTATAGGATTGTTCCCTTGAGCTCCTAAACTTGTTATGACAGTGTCAAGAAGGAATGGGGTGGCAGGAACATTTATTGTGACTTCTGAGTATATCCATTGAGGCCCCGATCATGGTGCTTGATCACTGAACTCTTTCCTCGCAATTTTAAACCTGTTGTGTGAGTCACTGCATGAGCAAAGTAATAACAGGCGTTTCCAGATACTATGCACAGAAAGCTTGGGTGATTTGGAGGTGCCAGCCTGAAAGCAACTGACCAAATTCCTAGGGACAGTGTAAGGATAAAATGATCATTGTCCCTTCCTGTTGTATGCCGCGGTTTTATGGATGAGACCAGAGAGCAGGTGGAATTTCGAGAGAAGAAGTTTATTTACCTGCAGGGACCAAACACTCGTTGGAGTGCGGTCCCGAGCAGAAGAATGCAGCTTTTTTATACTCTTTTACAACTATGCAGGTGCTTGAATAACAGCGAACATTGGGGAACCCCACTGAGCTACATTTGCACATTTTGCACTTTTCCCATGCTAAAGCAAGCAAGCGAGGGTACAAGGGCGTGACGTTTGCGGTTATGCTTGAGTGTAGCCTGCTTTGTTGTCAGCCTTGCGTAGCGTGCACATTCGTTGGGGTTCCTGTTCTTGT